TGACGTAGGCATCACAGGAGTAAATGGGAATTGGAAAGCATCTAAAGCTTCTGGAGCTCATAAACAGGGGAAGATCATAGTATTTCTAATGTCTAGTGCTTTCAAAAGCATTTATTTTACTTTTTTATGTACATATCTCTCCCAGATAGATTTGTATTATGCATTTTTTATAGCTGTAAGCTACAGTGAAGGCGTGTTTTCTTAAGCAATAATAAACCAAAATGTATTATCCTAAACACAACCTTGGCTAATAAAGGTATTTAAATAAACTTTTTTCTCACTCCTTTCTTTATTTATTCATATTTTCATCTTTTATGTATATAAATGTATTTATTTGTTCAAGCCTAGATGTATTTATTTGTTTTAGGCCTATTTTTCCATAAAGTCTCAGTGTTCATTTTCTATACTTATAATCTTTATTTATTTATTTACTTAGGGAACCCTCAAGTGCCCTTGAAGGTTGCTTTTTCTTTATTTTGTTGTACTTTTTTGCACAATGATATAAAGGAATTCTGATTTTATATGTTTCACTTTTGTGCGTTTCCACATGCTTCATTTTTCTACCGGTACACATGGATTTTCTCACTCAGAGAAGTTAAATCATGTTTTTATTCGATTTCAAATGTACAGATAAAAGACAAACAATCATAACATACATCTAGATTTAATTCACTAGTTATTTAGTGTAAAGAGGTTTTCAAACACTTTCAAACTAAAATATTTAACTGGTCATGTTTTACTTTAGGTTTTGTTAGAACATGAAACATTTTTATCAACGATCAGAACAAATATTCAACAAGCTGGATCTCATTGAAGTAACAACTGGATTTTCCTGTTGGACATGAATGCATCATGGCTTTGTGTTTTGTTGCCACCATGGAGCCGGACCGGCTGACCAAACTTTGGGCGGGGTTAATGGACTGGGAGGAACTGTCTGCTTTTTGTGGACTCTGACTCTGGGCTCGCCTTCATTCTGACTCTCCTGTGCTGATCCAGCTCCGTGTCTCTCTGGTTTCTACCTGAACCGAACCTCACTCCTGTAAGTACCACAAACCCTCATGTATTTACTAGGATCTGCAGCTCTGCGTGGAGTTAAACTGGAAGCTTGTAATCCAGAAGGGTTGTCATTCTGTCACACCCACTGGTGGAAACTTACAGGAAAAAACCACCAGAGAAACAAAAAAACACAGCTGGAAGTATTTGGTTTAAAATCAAACGGAGACATTTTTCAAACTTTTTTAGGTCTTTTTTGTGGGTGTTTGAATTTGTAGTTAATGATTACCTGATTAATATAGGAAAGAGTTTCTCTGTAGTTAAGAAAGAAGCATCTAAACAGCTCCCCCTGGGTTCACCTCTCAGAGCCTGAGGAATGTTCTTTTTTTAACTAACAGCATAAAACCAACTGATTGTTATTATTTTCCAGCATGATTGCCTTTAGGTATAATATGATGATCTGCACAGGGGTGGAGCTAGATGGGGGGCTAGGGGTGGCCATGGCCCCTGTGGGCCTCCTCACCGTTTTTCCCTCTAATACAGACCGTGGCAGCATACTCTCAAGTGGAATGTTCTAACTTATTTAACATTTTAACTTTTTAAATGTTAACAGTTATTTGACAACAAAAACATTGTCGTTAATTATGCATATCAGTATACTAACATTAAAGATGATAAATACAGAATTCATGCTCTTTTCAGAACTAGATTCTGTCTTAAAGAGAAAATTATGTCTCTGCAAGTCATCCGTGAGTTTTCATTGAAATCAGAAATAAATAACTACCTTAATAATAAGTAATTAATTTAAAGTAGATATTAGTACGTGTAAATATAAATTTTATGCAGAACAATTATTGATAAAAATAGGTAAGTAGTGACAATTAATAAGATGTTCGCTTGAGAACTCAAACCTGAAAGTATTTTGTCCACTAGTTCTTTAATTTAGACTGCATGCATGTTTCAATATATGTTTCTATTTGTTAGCAAAGGCTGTATGAAAGTGTAGTTAGGCTTTATTTAAAAAATATGGATGTTGTGGTCGTTAATTTTCCTTTTTGGAACAGCGATTGAACCTGAGTTTCTGGCACCTCTCTGCTTTTGTCCACCCCTCAGTCTACATTGGTTGTTTCCTGGCCACCCTGGCCACGCCTCTGGATCTGCAAAAGCGTTTCTTTCTATTCAGTCATGTAGCTTTTTCACTAGGATTCAAATCATTAATGTATTTGTAGTTTTAGCAATGAACCAACACAAACAGATAAAAACAAAGTTCTGCATTAAGTGTAGAACAACTAGATATAGATCTGATTGGTCAGATTAACAAAGGACAGGATTTATTTTACTCATAATTTAGAGGTTTACGTCCAAGAAGAGTACTCTGCCTTTTACTATTTACAAACTCCCAGTTAGCTATTTTAAGGTAACAGATTTTAAGGTACCACCTTGAACATATTTCCCTTGGAAAGGTCTAATCTGATGTACCATTACTGGAGCCACATCCAGAGGTCAAACAGCCACTGCTTGAGGCCTAAGAACCCCCCTCAGCTGTGAAGTGAGGGGATGACAGCATCATATTTTAGGACTGTTTTAATGCAGGAGGAATTTGTACTGTTAGAATAGATAGAATCATGAGGGGAAACAATGGACATACTTCTGAACACATCCACCTGGAAGATCCCATTTAGACACATAATGATCTCAGATGGACAATGTTCCTCGGCTCCTGAAGGACAGCAAAGTCAATTTTGGAGGTTTCATCACAAAGTCCTTATCACAGTCCTGGAGACGATTAGTGGGCGGAGCCTTTGATGCATGTGTGTATGTGTGAGTAAGGCCTCCTACAAACCTGACCCAATTACACCGATTCTGTCCGGAGGAATGGGCCAAAATCCCAACAGTGTGCTGTGAGAAGCTTGTGGAGCAGAACCCAAAACATTCCACCCAAATCAAAAAGTTTGTACACAGTTCAGACAAGATCTTAGGAAAGTGATGGAACCCTCTAAATTTCAGCAAATTGAAAAAAGAACCTGATCACATTGATGTGGCAAATAGGAACAATTTAATTGAATTGAATTGAAACGACACTGATACCTTCACCTTACAGAACCAGGCAATTAATAGAGTTGGGTTCATTTTATTTATTTTCTTTGAATAGAATAAAGATTTATTTAAATGAACCTGTAATCCCAGCAGAACCATTCAGACTGATCCATCCATGCCCCAAGTTCCTGGGGCATGGATATTTAGCAACATTTCAGACCCTCTAGTAGTTTTATTTTTAAAAAAAAGTGCCTAGCATCAAATCTAGTGACTTTTTTCTGCTACTGAAGACTTTGGCAACAACATATAAAAGCACCAAACTTGGCTCTCCAGAGCAAGTAGATTGGTAACCCCGCCTCCTGCTCTCCACTATCTTGTCTGCTGCCATGACTCATGCAAATATTTCATTTAAATGACTACAGTGAAAAAATGACCTTTTTTTTTACTGTCATCTTTTTGGAAACAGAGGAAGGAGCAATCAGGTTAGTGAGCTTAGTGCTTGGGAAAAAAATGTTTCATTCCTTGTTAGACAGCATGAAAAGTCATCAGAGTACAGAACATAGAGAGAAAAACAACAAGAAATGGACAAGAAGAGAGGGACAAAACATAGAAAAAATTATGTCTAATCTATTAACATTTCTGTATCTGTATAATGGGTCTGTTTTATGTGTTGTCTTCTAAATTCAGGCCCCCTGCCTGCCTTTGCCAAGGGCCTCAAATTTCCTAAATCCGCCCCTGATTCTTTTGTTTATATCCTGACAATCTGATATGTCGTAATTCCAAGAACACTATAACATAAATTATGTCGAACTGGTTATTCTGTAGCTTATAGCTGAGTCCAATTCAAGTCTCTAATCATGGATAAAAGAAATATTTCTTATAAAAGAAATTTCTGTCAATTAGTTTGCCTGAAATCTACATTACTGTTGGTTAGAAATCCAAACTTGTTCTGTTTGAACTGGGACCTTCCAAACATCAACACTTCCAAACATAAACCTAAAAACGTAAACCCTTTTACATTCTTTTCAACATCTAGGGAAAAAAGTCATTAGCCTCTTTGAATCCTCCTGAAATTGATCAAGTGTTATTTATACCCAGTCAGAAACATACATGCATTTATGTGCAAATGGAAAAGAGAACAAAATTCCACTATTATCACTTCCCTTTATTTTAAGATCTTTTCACTTATTTATTTCATTAATCTGTTTTATCCTTTACTCTGTGAGGTTTATATCTGAGGAGGAGGAATTTTTGATAATATTGAGAAATGAAGTAAATCAGAATATTTAATCAACTAAACCTGCTTTGGTTTTTTTTTTTGATGAGCAGGAAGTGTGTTTGTAGTGATGCAGTTGGCTTAACATTGAAAAAGGATCAAATATTATAAATTATTATTTTGAATAATATGTATAGCAATGTTTTTAATGATGAAGCTTCAGCCAAAGGTTCTGATAATTTTAGGTTCTACAACCAACTTATTTCCTGTTTCCTCAGATCGTCACCATGTTTCTGGCTAAGAGTTTGATTGGTGGGATTCTGAATGTTGTCAGGTGAGCACAGAGTCTAACAGTTTTGATTGATTTTTGTTGTTTTTGCTAAGCTAATGAGGTTTCTCTTCTTTCCTCCAACAGCAACATCGACCCTTCTCAGTTCATGCCATCAGACCCTGTAAGTATGTCGGAGGAAACCCTTATGCTCCTTTTACACTAGTACTGACTCTGAGTGATTCACTATGGTTTAACTTGGCTTTTCCATTAGTATTATTTAGGTTACTATTGGGAAAGAATTACTTCTTTTTTTTTTTTGTTGAGATGGTGGAGGGGTTGGGGGGGTTGCCGATCGTGATGATCATTTTGATATCAGACTAACCGATCCCCAATATGCTGCCAGTTTAAAGATGTTACACAAGTCTACATTTAAAACAAAAAATAAACAATTTTTTACATGAAACATTAACATTCAAATAGCAATGCAATTGATCTGTTTCATGTAGTTAATGTATTTGCTGGTGAATCAGCAATTGCATGGACGTCTCTGCCGAAAAGCAAACACCTCCTTATTCTGCTGGAGGTTTATTTGTGTCAAAGGAAGTTTTTCCTCTCCACTGTCTCTGCATGCATGCTCAAATTGAGGGATTGCTGAAGAGTGAATAACAAAATGCAAGTGATAAACCGTTACTGCAGGCTTATCCTACAATCAGCTGGTTTTCCTTGGTAGAAAACTTATAACCAATCTTCCCAGATGGCCTCATTGAATTGTCTCTGTAAAGTGCCTTGAGATGATGTGTTGTGAATTAGTGCTATATAAACAAACTGAATTGAATAGGAAGGTAAATACCTGAAATTCTTTTTACCTGGTTGCTTGCCGTTCCAATCATTCACAGCTGCACTAAAAATGCAACATCAGAGGATGTTTGGTCACTGATTGGTTAGGGTGAGACATCCTTGTCCGTCTTTAACCGGTACATTAGATCATGCTGAGATTATCAGAATCAAGTTTATTGTCAAGAGGGTTTGTACTTATGAGGAATTTTACTTGGTGTTGATGGTCTAGACAATATATATATATATATATATA